AGGTTTTGTCCCATTGGGTTTTCCTAGCAAGGTTTTTAATGAGGCAACAAGGATAGCGTATTCACATGAATAGTGTACTCTTTTTCCTTCATTAGGATTTTGTCCCACTGGGTTTTTCCTAATAAGGTTTTAACGAGGCATATTCATGGTATCATGAGCACTATTGGATAAATGATATGATTCCTTACGGTGATAAGAGAGACTGGAGTAGCTGTACTCTTTTTCCTTCGATCAAGTTTTTTCCCACTGGGTTTTCTTGACAAGGTTTTAACGAGGCAGCACGTGGATACTCCACTAAAAAGATGATCTATTTGAGGGGGAGCAAAGTTGTGCTTCCACGATGATCAGGTTTTGTCCCACCGAGTTTTCCTGAAGAAACAATGTTATGATTTCAAGATGATCAGGTTTTGTCTTACCGGGTTTTCCTGACGTGCTGAAGCGATGGTACCTGATGGCCACAAGATACACTTGAAGATGTGCAGATTGGGATTTGTTCAAATCAGTTAAAATATGTTTAGAAAATAGTCATTCAAGGGGGAGTGTTATGAAATAATAAAATAATGTATGTGAATGACTATTTTGCCCTCGATGTATTTGTATTATTACGAGTTGTGCCATCAGGAGTTTCCTATAAATAGGAGCTTCAGTTATAATGAAATACACACCTACGAGAATACATTTTCTCTATTCTCTCTTTTTCTTCTAGTTTTATAACAATCACTTGTTTATTGCATGAATATAAGCACCTATTTGTTGCATGTGATTATTTAAAACATTTGTTTGTTGCATGTGATTAATGCCATGGATAAGCTGGAGTCAATACACACCATTGACGGAGCCAGATGAGGGTCGGGGGCCATGGACCCCCTCATTTTTTTAAAAATTTATATATATATATATAAAGAAAATACTATAAAATATGTATAAAAATACAAGAAAAAAATATTTATAACATTATTTATTTGTTGAAAAATGTACTAACAATCTTTATATTTTACATTTCTAAATAAGTTTTTGAAAATATTTATAATGATTTACTCTTTCAGTCTTTTAATCGTAAATCGATTTAGTGATATAAAACCGAGTATTTAGTTGAATTGTTACATTTTCTAATGTTGATTTCTTACTTATTTTCGTGTGATCATATATTTTTAATTTTATTTTTTTTTTTCTTAAAAATTGTTCAATTGGTATGCTCTCATCAATGAAAATACTATGCAATGTGCTGTAAAAGTCCAATTTAAATAAAATTTTCAACCAAAAAACTTATTTTTCCACAACTTCTAGATATTGAAGTTAAATTATAAATACTTGAAATCTAACTTTTATAAACAAAAAAAAAAATTGATGGTGATAGGATTCTAAGTTTTTAAAAACTTGACGGTACACATATCGATATTTATATTTATAGTAAATACATTTTATATGAAATGAGCGTTTTGACTTAAACTACAAGCTTGTTATATAACATTTGAAATCAGACCCCCCTGAGTAAAATTCTTGGATCCGTCACTGATACACACGCAACATATCTATCTTTATATAAAAAGAATAACCTTTTTATAAATTTAGAAACCTTTTCCCGCCAAAATCATTAAATATATCCTACATATAGTAATTGTTGGACAAATCTGAATAGGTAAAAAAATCGGCTCATTCATTGTGTAAAGATTTGTTTCTCTTTTTCCTGTTTTTTAGTTTATCAAAACCGTTGTTTGACAATAAATATTTATTTTTCTTTTTTCTATTTTTTAGTATAAATTTACACGAGCTTATCTCTTCTGTCACAAAATCTCATTGCATACGTCTCACGTGTTTAAAAAATCTCATCCCTTATTTATACAGATTTGAAAAAACAAAATAAAATAGAAATCAATTCATAATTACTACTAGAAATTCATTATCTTTAAAAAGAAAAAATAAAATAAAATAGAAACCATTTCATCCATTATCTTTAAAAAGAATAAAATAAAATAGAAACCAATTCATAATTACTACTAGAAATCCATTATCTACTTTACGAAGCTAATTTTCATCGATCTAATTACTAATATTTTTACAAATATTATAAGCTAACCATACAAAAAAGTATAATAATAATTTTAAAATGGTGTGTAATCAAATTTTTTTATATTCTCTAATACAAATAATTTTACATTGTTTGAACTCAAAATCTTTAATTTATAATTATTAAGTATCTTTAATTTATAATTAATTTTTTTTTCTTTTTAAATATGATCAATAGTAGCTTCCACTTCCGCCGTTAAGTGACTCAAACTCGAGGTCTATTTATAATATTGTTAATTTAATATTATTCACGTGCATCGCACGGGATACACACTAGTTTGTAATTAAAGAAAGGCTCTACCTAAATCTCATGATATTAAAATTTTAAACACAATGAAAAACAGAAAAGATTGTCCAAACATGAAATACAAGAAATGAGACCCACATTTAATTAAATATATATTTGATGTCATTACTTACGCACAAAATAACGTGAGTGAAATATATTGCATGATAACACGAACTTAGATACATTATTGTTTCTTTTCATTTTCATTTTTTATCTTTGAAAACAAAATTTGGAATGCATTCATGCCATCATCATAAAAATCACATCATAATGAAAGTTGGCCGTATGATAATGACTTAACCAATAAAAAGTACAAATAAGTTCAAAAAGATAATTGCAATTCATGTCTTTTTTTTTTCTTTTTTTTTTCACCATACAAAAGTTCAAAATGATAAATAGCAATTCATGTCTTCATCCGACCTTTCAGATTCGAACCGACATAATAAGCAATACCGAGCTTGTACTCCAGGGTACCACCTAGCCCTTCCCACTCCCATATGAGCTAAGGTTGGTACAAAATGCGGGGCAATCACTCGATTTTGATATGTGAAATTTCACCTCAATTGTATATGCTGGTATGCTTCACTATCATTTTGCACTTCTAACATCTGCCATTAGAAATATGACACCATTTGCATGTAAACGTCAGTAGCAACACAAAANTGAGAAAGTAAAAAAAAAAATACTCTAAACTAATTAATAGTTTATCCAACGGCTAACTTTTTTTTTTTCCCGAAACGACAAAAATTTTATATAACGCGCACAAATGTGCAAAATGACAGCCACCGACTGAATACAAACAGCTAACAGCTGAATACAAGCAGCCAACAACTGAAAAAGTAGGAGGACAGATCAACAGACCGCCTAGAGAACTGACCCAACATGGTAAAACACAAAACACAGAAACACAACTAAGAAACAACACACAAAAGACCTCAACGGGGTAATACTCGAGTGTACGATCTCAACATGATAATAAGTGTCACACTCGGGCAAACTGAGGCCAACGGTCCAGACAAAAAACACAGCAACAACACAGCCTAAATAACACATAAACTAAGCTACCAACAAAAACCAAAACAACAAAACTAAACGAGCCCTTCCAAAGCAGCAACACCTAAACGAACCAATGGAAACAAGTCGGCCGTGAATCCCGCAGCCAGATGCACCGACCCCGAAACTGCCAAAACCACTCGATTGTCTAACGATGTCGAGACCCCAGCCCCGGAACACACCAAGCCAACCCGTACCACGGTCACAACACCTAATTGCCCCGAAACGGCAAGAGTGTGCTACGGCCCCAGCCCCAACCCCAAAACCGCCTAGAAATTGCCCAAAACCACCGCACCGCCACATCACCCCTACCAACACCACGGACAGAGTGTTCAGTAAATTTACTGAAAAACTAGCTAATAGCCGATAAGCTAGCTGATAACATATAAGAGAAGTTTAAATTTGTAGATAATAGCTTATGGTTAATATGTGGTAAACCAATTGATTATAATAAAAATGTGGTAAAATTAGATGATAAGTCGGCTTAAAAAAAATCCAATACTTTTTCGAAAAGCTAGCTAAATTTATAAGTCCCATTTTCTATTTTATTTTATAAAAAATAACAATAAAAAACACTTATTCTAACAAACTAAGCTTATTTTGTAAGAATCGAGTGCGGTCCCACGCAGATGAAGCGCACCAACAAGGAAAGCCCAGATGAAGCTTAAATGAAGTTCCATCCCAAAACCAAGGAGGAGTAGCCCACTATTCTTATAAGTTGAGTCTATTTTTCCCGTATAAACGATGTAAGACAACTCACAAGTGGTATTATATTCTAATATATTTAAATGTAAAAATTTATAATCTAGCCAAACAAACTATAAACTATAACTCATTATGACCATAAACACACTCTGAAATTATATATATATGTGTGTGTGTAAATGTTACTATAAATTTGTCAAATAAAGGAATACATATTCATTATATATTGCTCACATGTCATCTATATATTGTTTGCGTGTGAATCCGACGGCTAAAGCCTCCTAGGGATGGGTAGGGTGAAATCAACAAATAGTTGAGCACTTTGTAATGAGGCTCATTTAGAGATACCAATCCAGTAAACTAATGTTTGTACGCTCAGCTCAAATACCCTTTTGAGGCACTTGAAATAAGAGAATTGCATTCTAAAATTAAGAAAGACTGGCGAAACGAAACACAATATTGCTGCAGACATGACAACATACCAAAATTGATTAGGCAATTCAATATATCATGTTCTTTTCAAAAAATAAAAAATGATAAAAGAGCCTGACTTTATGAATTTTCATTTAAAATAACATTCCACATAGCAGTTTAAATTTGTGATATCAAACCTACTAAAATTTATACGTGGGAAATAATTGTACGTTATAGAGTTATGGCATAATAATGATACGTGTACACAACGCAATTCACACAAAAATTTACACTCATGTTGGTCCAGAGTCCACCTATGTAAGTTTATCTACATTATTTACATTATATAATGATATTATGCACACATGGCAAAATCTTTTAATTCAAGGAAGTGTCAAAAGAATTGAACCGAACTGAACTCGAGTTCAGTTCTTAAAATGCGATTGGTAACGGATCAAAATCGATTTTGATTGAATTTTGAATTAAAGTGAGTCAGTCTTAAATAAAGTCTTAAATAAAGTTGATTGAGTGAAATTTTGAGTGTATTTAAATGATATTTAAAATGTAATGATTAAAGTTAATTTGATATAAAAGTAAGAGAAATGTTATCGAAAATTATATGTAGTTAAAAATATGTGGATGAATAATAATAAATAACAATTGATGTAATGTGTGAGAATAATTGATTTGTATTATTTAATTATATTGATAGTATTGAAGAGAATTGAGTTGAACTTTGAGTTAAAGAGTGTAAAAAAATTATTCGATCGGTAAAAACCGATTTTAATATATGTTACCGATGGCACCCTTAATACTCGAGCTCGGGTTCAAGCCTTATCGAGCCGAAGTGTTGACAAAAACGAGCAAATAAACAAGCTTTGGTCATCATTAATATTAACAAGTAACGAGTGAAACTCGATGCTTAATGAACGGGTGTATAAAAACTTACATATAAAAAAAAAAATATTTTCGAGTGTTAACGAGTCAAACTTGCTCGTTACTAAATGAGCTCTATTTTATCAAACAAACAGAGCCGAGCCAAGTTAGGTCAAGGTCAAGCTTATAAGTTGCTAGTGCGTTTAACAATTTTAGGTTCAGGGAACGTCGATTATCTCAAAAGACTTCATTATTGAAACTGGAAAAAGACTTAGTCTACCCGTCTCTTTAATGCAACATTACTGTCTGAAAAATGCTGAAAAAATATTCTTTTTGATGTTAGTCAACAACCTATTACAACAAAATTTCTATGAATTGATAAATAATAGATGAAGTAATAATATGTTAATTTATTTACAGATTTCATTGCAATTGCATATTACTTAAATATCTGAAATCGTCAAATCCGCAAGATTTCAAATTTAGGAACCTTAATAAAATAGACGCCCAAACTGTAGCAATCAAAAGAAAAATATAGCAATAGAATAGATGTATGAAGTGAGCATGCTTCCTCACAGACCACCAATGAATTGATGTATTGGCACTTGTATCAAGTATATTTATTTATTTAGAACACATCAATATAGAAAAAATCACATCATAATAATGGCTTATGTATGTTGTGACTTGTGAGGGATGCATCCATACCTTCCAATATGTATCATCTCATAAATTTAGAAAACTAAGGATTTGTTTGTTTTTTAAAAAATTCAATCCATACTCAAAATCTAACTCAATTTTAATTCAATCTCACTAACTTCAATATTATCAATATGATTATCAATCATTCTTACACATCACATCAATTTTAATTTACTTTGCATCCACACATATAATTCTAACTAATCATCACTTTACATCATTTCTCTCTTACTTTCACATCAAATCAACTTTAATTATTTATTTTAAATGTTATTTTAATATAAACTCAAAAATCTCACTAACAACTAACCATACAACCTTTTTAAAAATTAACTCTGGTTAACCGAAAAAGTTCGTTTTGAGCGGATATATTTGTATTCAAGCACGCCCTAAACTTGGCAAGTCATTCTCAATTGGGGTGGATAAAGATGCATTAATTAGTAACGAGTCCATTTTCAAACTATCAAGGCTTTTTACTGTACCTCCTGATTATAAATGATTAAATTCAATTCCGAAATAGTAATGAAAGGTACTCATTTTATATTCGCAGATAAAGAAATAGAAGACACATACCAGAAGCCTCAGACACATCCACTAAGCAATTCACATGTTACAGCTTACCTGCTTCTTCCTGCGCAATATCAAATTGAAAAAAAAAAAAAAAAGGGTAAAATTGGGAATTGCATCATGCATGCAATAACTAGCCCACTATTCTTTTATTTAATATGGTTTAGCAGTCCAAAGACTAAATTAAGATCCTTTATGATCAGCAGTTGCAGTGAAATTGTATTCAAAACTCCAAACTGTGCCACTATGATAAAATTAGTATGTCATTGCAACCATACAATGTCTATTTGTTAGCCATAAAAGGCAGCCAAATTTCACAAAAATTATTGAACAAAGGCCTAGCATAAAATGCAAGTTTCTCACCATGTCATCTTACATTCACGAAATACGTCAGACTTAATAGATAACAGTGGTGACTTGATATTGAAATGTCGACGGATTGGGCCAACATGTCAGTAAATAAGGACCGGAATAGAGCACAATCAATTCCAAGCCCATAGGCCATAAAATGAAGGGAATTTAGGATAAATTCAATCATTTAAAGTCGAATTATCTAATTCCTTTCACCAATTCTCCTTTTTTTCCCCTTTTTTGCAATTTGGAAGAGTATGACTGTGCACAATTGGTAAATTCCCCTATTTGGCAGGGTGTTTACAATTAATAACAATTGTTGTATAACTTATGTAATATTCAAAAGGTCAAAGTATGTTTTTACATGACATTGAATACCCAAATTCCCAAGCAACTAACAAAAACAGCTAACGATCAGTTCTTAAGAGGAGAAACTCATCTGCAATTGAGAATATCTACAAAAATATGCATGTGGGTTGCGTAAACCTCGGTATTGTTGACAACAAAAATAAAACTCGCACTTCCCTGAATTCAAGGCAGCAACATGCTGAAGCAGTTCAACCTGAAAGTACACAATGAGAATCAATAACAGAAACGCATAAATGATATTTTGACATTGACAATTATTTCAAAAGTATAGCAAATTTGGAACACTGATTTTATAAGTGCACTTAGTTACACAACCACAAATATACTTGATAGGAAAATGGATGGCCCAGAAGAACAACCATCTCTTCCCAAACCGAAAATGTGTACAAAACAGAAAAAGGGCATAAAAAAGGTGAGCTAATCCACTAGAGGTAGACATCAATGATACAACATTGAATAAATTAAAGAAATAAGTGTTTCAGTGATAATGTGATAAATCTCAGATTCTATACTGTTATTCTGAACTTTTTTTTTTTTTGTTATTCTGAACTAATTACTGCTATAGTAAATAATCATGCTACTGTAAATTGCCAACAATTTTGACAACTAGGACTTGTCTTCAGTATGCACATGAGATAAATACATATTTTCCAGCAAAGACTGATCTGACTTGAGGGCGTGAAAGTGGAGCATTTATGTCAGATCCCCAGGAAATTAAGATAGAGAAAGTGATCCCAAAAAGCCCAAGTCATACATATTTTCAATGTTCACACTTTTCATCATGTAAATTTCTAAACATATCTTCATGACTACATGTGTAATCAGAGAATATCAGCAGAAAACCTCTGAAAATTAATGTTAAAGATGCATGAAGCTAGAAAAGTGAAAATAGGAGTCAAGAAATAAGGATTACCAGGGAAAGATCAGGACCACATATAATCCATCTAGTTACAATGACCAGTTTGCAAAAGCCTAAGGATCAGAGAAAATAAATTTTATTAAAAAAAAAAAAATGAAGATCAACTTTTGGATGTACTAAATCTGCAATTATTGAAAATGGGTATCACAACATACCATAAAACAAATTCCTCTAGCTTCAGTTCAACGACCCTCGGCACCTAAAACAAAGAGTAGAACAGTAGGCAACTAGTTGAAAAGGATAGGCAGCACATGCAGATGACATAAGATCAATGAAGTAGAGAAAGATCAAGCTTAATCTCAAGATCCAAAACATTTAAAATCAAGCAACAAGTTTTGGTCAGAGTGAAGCAATGATTCTGTTGGAATATTACTTGTGACCTATATTGTTACGTATCCATATTTAAATGACCATATTTAGTAAGTTATTTAGGGCTAGAATAAGGTGATTTGCTGGACTTTTGCTTCGGAACCCTAAGGTGTTTTTAATTAATTAGTAGGGTTTAGGCCTTTGAACGCATCGAGAAAAAGAAAAGAGGAGCCTTTGGCTTAGGCACTGCGTTCACACTTGAGGCAAGCTTGCTTGCAATAGTTCATTTTTTTCCTATTTCTTTAAGTTTCCATTCAATTATAATTTTCAATTTTCATTTATTCTTCTTTCAGTTCATCCTTACTCGATGTCATATATTAGAATGCTAGATGAATCAAACATGGCGGTGCCATTGGCTCTAAGCGTGGTGGAATTCTACCTAACCCCCATTAGGAATTTGTGAAGGATGGCATTATGACTGCTGCTATGTTGGGATTTCAGCCTGTCATCATCCACCATTTATAGAACTAAAGAAAAGGCCCAAAAATGACGAAATTTAATTCGCAACTTTTCTGCTCATCAAATTATGTGTACCATGAAATAAATCCTATCATGCAGTATACTTATTGAGATAGCAAAATCACGACAAAAGTAAATAACAAATACTCTAAATCCTCAATAGTCTCTATCTTCAGGATAAACCTTCTTAGTGATTCAAGCAATTTTAGTCTAAGAAAAATAATTTCTCAAGATAAAGATGCGTCATAGTACATCATGGAACACTTAAAATAAAACTAACGAAGAAACCACACTTACCGCCTAGAACCACAGTTACAAGGTATCTTTTTCTCTTCCAATGGGAACTTGTAATTGTAAGAGAGTTCTTCACCAGCAGAGATATGCCGCTTTGCATATATGAAAATTTTCTTCTGTCCCTCGACACTAATGACCTTAGTGTAGCAATTAGGCTAAATACAAATAGACAAAATAGTAACTCCTCTTTAGAATGACTACTACACATCAAACACTGTAATATGCCTACAAATCTTTGTCAAATGGTTACCTCACAGGAATGATTTATAAATCTTGCAATCCCTCCGCGCTTCGTAGCATCAACCTGAAGAAAAGGATAATCAAATGTTGCTTTCTGTTTGTTATAGTCCCATTCATATACTCACAAGGCAACCATCATATCATATGATTTGTTGTTGGACATCTACCAGCTCAAGGACATATGGAAGGGTCCAAGGGAAGAAAGAAAATCTGAGCAAGCAAAAGGCTTTTTAACAAAAAGCACTAGAGAAAATTGAGGATCATACAATATACAAGGGAATGCAAAAAGTTCTATAAGTAATCGAAATATTGTTCAATCCAGAAGAAAGTTTGTTAGGCTGAGTTGATCGAAAAAAGTTGTCTACTTACAACATATCCATCGTCCAATCTGAAAAGATAACTGCTACCGATTCCCATTTTCTCATACTCGTACTCACGTATGTCAGATATCTGAAAAATTATGTGAAAATATTATACTACAAGGTTAAAGCATTGACTTGAACCGAAAAGATACCAGAAACACGGTGGAGTGGAAAATACAAAGTATATCAACTGAACTTTTTTTTCGATAGTAATACTTTAGTGCCCACATCTGGTGTCTACTACATGTTCCACAAGCTTTGTTACTAAATTAGTCAGTGGAAAGATTGCTGAGTTTCTTCATAGCCAGTGAAAATGCTTCTCGAATGAGCTCACTTCTGCAGGTTATAACTTGAAGCAATGTCTGAGTTTCTTATACTTCTTAAATAATAAAATTCCCCTTCCAGAGGGTTCACATATTCAGAATTTTATTTTATAAATGCTAAACAGATCAACATCTAAAAATGAGAAATATTCGTCTTCTCGCACTAACAATACCCCTTCTCCAAATGACATGTAATAAAGAAGAAAATGGGTGCTTACACGAGGGCGAATAAGTTCTCCAACATATTCTATAACGAAGTCCTCAGCTTCAATTGGTTCTAGCGCAACAAGACCCCAATCATGTATCTTGCTCCGCTGGAAACGCAGGCGTTTTTTCCTTGCCTGGTAAAACATAATAGGTCAAATAATCATAATATTATATAAGAGTTGGAGAATGGAGAGAAACTTCATCTGCAATTTACTTTCAGCTGTGTGGCTTTGAGAAGGTCAGCACCCTCTGCAGCAGCAAGAAGGTTACGCAACTTGACCCTGTTTGTTCTCGCTGAAAGTCCCTTATTTGAAGAATGAGATCCAATGGTTTCACGATTTACATATTGGGAATCAATGCTACTACCCCTAACCCGAGCCTTTTCAGCAGGACTAGCGCTCAAAGACCATTTACGCCATTCCCAGCCATTCATAGAGGACCTAGCACAACCTTCCGACTGAAGGCAAGGCCTCAAGGTCCTAGACTTGCTTCCCTTGATCTTCTTAACTGAACATTGTCTACGTGGAGGTTCTTTGGAAATTTCACTTGCTAACTTCTGGACTTTCCCTGTTTGACAGTGTGCTGTATCATCAATTAGTTGCTTCCTTTTCGGTTTTGAAACTTTACTTGCTGCACAACAGAATTAATAGCAGCCGAGTTAAATAATTTGGTCAATTGAACTACTGTGTGCGCGTATGAGTAAGTGAGAGAGCGGGTATGATACCAACATTTTGGCACTTTTATGTTGTTAACAGTGGCTTCAGGTTCTAAATAACTTGATTCAAGGCTTCTGGGAGCAGAAATCTTCTCAAGACTACATTTAACTGTGAGGAAAAGAAAAGCATTCAGCTCATCACAGCATGAATCATCTTTAAGTATGTCAGTATACATGACATATGCAATGCTAACGAATGAACAGACAACAGACACAAGTAAATATGATTTATAGCAGAGAACATAAATAACTTGGAGAAATATCGAGGCTATATCTAAAATTTAATTCAATACCAACCCACCCACCCACACAAGTAAGGACGTCTATTTATACCAAAAGTACGAACTTGATGAACAAGAAATTAAATCAAAACCTATGAAAAAAACAATAAAATCAAGTGCAATTAAAATAAGATATTATCTAGCTAATCTTGATCTCCATCATAATCACTCGAACATATTTCAATGATTAGCTCTCAGAATGCATAATTTATAGTGCAAAATACTAAAATACCTCGACTGGCTCTTGCGGTCTTTTCTAATGTCTTTCTGCTACCATGCAAGGATGATTTTTTTCCCCCAATTCGAACATTAGCACGCGGCTTACTACTGTCATGTTCTGCAATTTTCTCTAAGTTAGAAGTTGCATTTTCAACTTGAGCAGCATGATTGATACTTCCAAGGATGGAACCTCTCCTTGACCTTTTCAATCCTCGTTTCAAATTATCAGTGTCTCCAGTAGCCAAAAACTGAAAAAACGATCCTGACACTTGATTGCTCAACATTCTTCTCCGAGAATATTTATATTTACCAACTATTAATGTCTCTTCAGAATATCTCTTTCCGTGAGCAGGTTTCTCTTTATTCACCCAACCTATGGTTCCCTGACAACGCAATACAGTATATGAGGCTAAAAATTTAATTCACTGATTAAACTATTGAAAGTCAATCTATAAAAATTACCTTACTGCCTATTCCCCTGAAAGAGCATGTCATTGTTATAGCTTTCTCAATGGCATCGTCAATATATAGAGATTTCAATTTACTCCGGACACACTCGTATATCTTCTGACGGCTTATCATTAGTGCAACCTGGAAAATAGTTTTTGAAACCTGTTCATCCAATTTAAATGACTCTACTAGGAGAGTATGTGATGAAGCACAATGAGTAATTTCCTCAACTTCAGGTGGGCGTAGTCCATCAGCAACTGCAATATCACTACCATCTTCTAAATGCACAGGCAGTTTTTCAAATTCCCTCCGAGAGAAATGTAATGGAACATTTTGTTCCACGCTTTCCTCAGGTTGTGCAGGCCACAATTCATCTACCTCAGTACTAGTTTGATCATCTAAATGCATGGGCAATTTCCGGAATAAACCTTTTGATAAATTTGTCATGGAAACTTCATGACGATGAACACCACCCTGTGATAGAAGTTTTGTGACTTGGCCAGCATTTGATAACATAACTGCTGAATTGTAAAATGATTTCTGACCATATGCACTTATATTGCCGTGTAGATGAGAGGACTTCAGAGATACCTGTCATGGAATCACAAGACATCTTATCAATAGAACTATAAGAAGAGTGCGAAAATAGAAATGGATTATAGTGAAGAAAGCTTCAAGCCATTACCTGATTCATATGATCACTATCTGACGGAATAAGTGTCTCCTTCACTTGTTCATCCACAATACTTTGAAAGTAATCTACTAATGACAGCTTCGAAGCTGAGTGAAGATCATCCAGTACATAATCCAGGATGAACTCAATGTCTTGGCAAGAAGAACCAGAGATCAGCAAATTTTTTTCCGAAGGTTGAGATATGGATGTTAGTTGCAACTGTATATCCATCGTGGTTCTCTCAGGTCCAAAACCTGGAGGGCAATCTACTTCAGAGGATGAGTCATGCTCGAGAATCAGCTGTCAAAAGGAATAGCATCAAAATTCAGAACACCACATTCAACAAATGAACTAGACAATACCATAAACATCAATGCATACATCATCAGCAGCTTGTCGCTTTTCAATCTGCACAGTTAACTCTCTGCATTGGGTGCATCTCTCAAGAACATAAGGAGATTGCCATATTTTCCTCTTTCTCCATGCAGATGAATAGTTAGCAATAGGATCATAAAAGACAGCATTCCACAAGACTTCAGAAGAAGAAAGAAAAAGCATTCTGTTAACGGCCATATATGCGGCACAGAAGTTTTCATAACTTCCAACTGACTTCAGGCGAGGCGGAGATCTCATTGTTTCAACATTACATTTCTCCTCACAACTGTCGGATACACCTGTTTCATCACAAATCACAACCTCGTCCTTTCTCTCATAACATATTTCAGACTGCCACAAACAAATTAAAAGAAAAAAAAAAGATTATCGCATTAAGTAATATGGTATGATTATAATAATTCTTTAATGCTTTATGTAATTATATACCTTTCCATTGCATGAGGACAAGGATTTAGGAGCCTCAACAACAGGTTCAGTCAAATGATTCTCACGAATTTTCTTGGCAGAAGGAGGATCAGAAATAATGTAACTAACAATCTCATCCAGCACAATTTTTCGTGCTGTTCTCATGATTCCAGAGTGAAGTTGAAAACAAATTTCTTCAGAAATTTCAGAAATCAAGTCCAATGCTGAGCCTGTGATTTGGTCATTGGCGTCCTGTGCAGAGACAGTCCCAAGTCTAGATTTTCCCCAAATGGTTAACAATGATTCCAAATTCAAAGGTTTACACTTATTGTCAATGTGATGTATCTGCGCAAAAGGGCAAATGGCAGTAACAGTCAGCAAAGAGGACTCGTAGAAATTTACTTATTAAAAAACAACAAAAAAAGATCAATAGGACAAAAGAGAAAAAGCAAACCAAGATTACAACTGTAGCTCAAAGATACAATAACAGAGGGCATTTGATTTTAGATGGAATTAAAAATAAACTCGGTTGACATGTCATATACCTAAAGTGCCAAAACAAAATACATAATCTTTAGGCATTGCAAAAGTGAAAAGTCAGAACAATTTCTATGTTACATATTTTTCAGGCATAGGCATACTACTCGCGAGACTTGAGAAAGAGGCTTATAAAGCCTTAAAAGCGCTGATGCCTGATGCATGAAGTACCCAGGTATCATTTCATTGCATTAGTAGTTACCCGTCTCAAAAACAAGGCGCATTCACGACCAATGGACGGAACAAAGAATACGATTAGCCTAAATAGAATGCAATTACATGACATTTACACAATCAATTTTCATGATTTAATAAAACATTGCCATTTAATGGTATCTGACACATTTGATACTTATTCCCAAAATTAGTAGAAAATCAAGCCTAAATTCTCATATTTATTTGCAGACAAATAGAGGTATGCAACAAGAAGTAAATGTGTGGCCCAAAAATAAAGAAAATAATATATTTCAAGATAAATGGAACCCTTACAATGAGGTAAGTATCGCAATTCAAGAAATTAACACTTCAAAAAATAATTTTCATTCAATATAATTTTTACAAAAAAAAGCTAATTATCTCTTTACACAGCATAAAATTCAATTACCTATGCTATACAGAAACAGATTAACAACAAATAAGCTTAATTTGGATACACTAGACAGTAAATCACCATCGATGAGGTAGGGATGTATCCATAGTGACACCAGGAGTAGAGCTCAGTAAGTGAGTGCGGGCCATGCTTCCTACCTTCCTTATCCTCAAACAGCCAACAAGATTCATCTCCCGACTGCCGCCATAAAGAGAAAACAAGTTACAAACACCAAATATTATAGGGCAGATATTTAAGGGGGCAGAAAACCATAAAAATAAAAAAGAAAAACCATTATACCAACGGGAAGTTTAGTTCAACATCACAAGAATTGGACACGAGGCTATCATCAACAACAGAGCCAGCAGCATTTTTCAAGTAGACAAAGCCGGTGGCAACATGGTCAGGGAATTGCTTGAAGTAGTTGAGCGGCACGGGATTAAGGAGAGTCCCGTTTAAGATTGGGTAAACTGAGAGAACCTCTGGTAGAAAACCGGTATTCAAGCCCTCGTACAACTGCTGCTGAATGTAAGGGCCGCACATCTGCCTGTTGTGATTGACGTACATCCACCCGCTCACGTAATCGTGCCCTTGTGGTAAGGATCCTCCTCCCAATTCTGAAGCTTCTTCACCGCCTTCATTGCCACTCAACTCGTTGCTCATCGTCGTCCCCCAAGACTCAGACTTTTGACTCAAAAAAAACGCGATGATGATGAGATCTTGGTTCGGCCAACCCAGCGTTAACCCTAGGATACAAGTTTTGGTGCGTTTACCCTATAGTGCAAGAACACAGACAGGAAGAGGAAAAATTTATCCTGTCAAAAGACTGGTGAAAATTGAAAAATAGGCATATTAACTCGAGATGTTGTATTGAGGGATAAGAACCTCATGAGGAGTCCAGGACATCTTTCAAGGTTCTGTCTGATGCGGCGGAGGCGACATGATAAAGGAGCATTTATGTTAAAAGAAGAGTTTTGATGCATTAGTGCCGTTCGGTTTTGCCATGGAGTCTATTACACCTAAGAGCATAATGAGGCATTTATACTTGTATTAAAGGGATACTATTTACCAAATTAAGTAGGCAGAAAAGTCAACAGCATTTATTGCATTACTATTTACGTATTATGCTATATAAAAGGATATTCTATTTACTACATTTACTATCCAAAAAAGTCAACTGCATTAAATGTCATTACTATTTTGGTATTATAATATTTTATTTATTTAATTAATTTATTTATTTGTTTTATTTTAAAAAGGTAAGTATAATAAAAAATATTTAATAATAAAAAAATCAAATACCAAATAAAAATGTACACTTTGACTTATTTGATTATATTTGGTATTTGATTATACCAAACATATTCCTATTTAGTATATACATTAAATACTTACCAAAGTATTTATTTGTTTTATTTGTCAAAGTTAAGTATAGATTTGTTTATATTATCAAATCATAAAAAAATATTAAATTCATATTGTTAAAAAAAAAATCATATAATTTTATAACAATTCTACTACACTATTTAACAATATTTTTTTATTATATAATAAAATAATAATTAAATATTATATGGTGAACAACAATAAGTAAAACTGTTACTTTCTCTTATATCAAGGGAAAAATTTATATGCTAAAATTAAATTTTTATTAGTATAAATATTTTAGTGAGATAATATATTAATTATTTTACAAGCTAGCCCTAACATGCTCATATTTAATGTTTTAAGAGATGTAGAAAAAAACTTATAGTAACTCTATTGTTTTTTAGACTTAAACGTTAATTAAAAGAGGTAAAAATTAAAAAAAAAAAAAACTACAATGAAAAAAGCAAGTCAGTTATATATCGATTTGTTGTACTCCTCAAATCACATTCACAATTTGGCTACAAGGAAAGGAAACTCATTGATTAAAATATTATTTTGTCAGTAGTCTTAATGTCCAAGAGACTTTAAGACTCCACTTGAATATTATAAAACTTTTATTGAACATTGTACACTTTTTTGCGTATTATGAACTTTTATTGAATATTGCATCTTATAATATAATATTCTCCAAATAAATATATATCGTGCTTTACACGTATTATATATAGCCCGTACATTTTTCTTTATTCGTGTATATAATTATAAGCCTGCATAAATAGCCTTAAAATTGTGCACCCCGTGCATCGCACGTGCTCTGTACTAGTTTCATCAAAAACAATAGTACACTTTGACATACCCAAGATATTAATAAAAATTAGCCAGACACAAACGGACAAGAATCGCTCGAGTCATCCATAATTTTTCACAAATTGTGTATTGACACTTACCCTGCAATAAATAAACATAGGACACGTGTCAATACATAAAGGCATGGATGACTCCATAAGGGAGTCATCCGATAGCTCCATAGACTTTCTGTAGATCCACAATCAAAGGAAAATGTGATTCAAAACAAGTTTTATTGGTTAATCAGAGGTAATTTTGAAAAAATTTGTAAGGTTAATGTTAGTGAGATTTTGCGTTGATATTAAAATCTCTCCTTATATATTAATTCAAAACATGTTAGAGCATAAAGCAGATTCTCATGCTTCGGATGCTGACATAGCGAAAATTTGTGCTTCATAATAATGTTTATATATTCATTTTTGTTCTGGTGTTAGGCTTAGTGTTAGACATAAATAACTTTATTTCAAACTGGTAAGTGTATATTTAATTTTGTTACTTTTTCTCTTAGTACACATTTTCTTCTTAATTTGCGCAAGTAACAATTTACCATATTATAATTTTCTTTAATATTTTTCTCCTAATTTACGATTTACAAATCACTTTCTGCACTGCTGTTGACATTCGAACTCGCCCCCGAAGAAAACCGGACAAGGCAGCTTCGAGAGCCGAACCGGAGACCCGGTCGAGTGCAAAGGTGCCGAGCTGAACTCCGAAATCGATTGACCCTGATACCCCCGTGGGTCCATCCATTAGCTCGGTGTTTGATACATCGGGGTACCGGTGCCGGTCTGATGAGTGACGGGCTGGAGGAAGATTCCCCGAGGCCGAAGGAGCAAAATGGAAACAGGAGCCGACCTGAAGTCTCAGAACGGACCCCCAATTACGGATGCCAGTCTCGATAATAATATAATATTGCCACTTGGAGAGCAATCATTGGTGATTGGACAAGGTGTCCTAGCCTGCATGTCTATATCCATTAGCCAAGACATAAAGCCTGCCAGCATTAAATGACCTCCATGTGTTCATTAAATGACTGTCAGGCAATGATGAGGAAAACCTCAAATCGCATTGAATTCTGTCATGGAGGCGCCGGACTGTCCTGCAAGGACACTGTACGACAAGACCGGTGAACAGTGCCTGAACAGTTCCACATTAAAGAGAACTATAAATAGCAACCTCCTCATTTATTTCTGGGTGGTTGAATTCCAACTATCTCTACTCTTTCTACATTTTCTCTCTCTAAATTTGTAAGGAATTTGTGTAAGAATTTAGAAGTATATCCCAAGTGTCGACCTCGTACGAGAGGCCGACCTCGTGATCAGTTAATAAAATCGTAATTAAACCGCATTCTTTTGTCTTTTTTCGCTACTTTTTCACAATTGATCTTTTTTAACCGTTGACCGGAAACGCCCATCAACAACTGCTTATTCCTCTTTTTTTCCATCAATTAGTCCATCAAAAATTTTAAATAAAAAGGCATTTGATCAGCAGAGCATATTTAGACCTAGCCTTTCCTCAAGTATGAGAAGAGTTTACAGTACAGTCAGTAGTTTTTCCCCTACGGATGGTCACTCTGACTTGCCCAGAGATTCACTTCGCTCCTAATATCAAAAATTGAGCTTGTGCCCAAGCCCACTAAAATATCAACGTGGGATAGAGGGACAAGCAAGCCTCATCGCGAATTGAATGTGGGATATCCACAAAGGATACCAAGGTCGTGCTAGCAAGATCTTATATGTTCATAGTATATCTGCTACATCTGCACGAACAGCTGTAGTTAGGAAGCAAAGTGAGACTCAAAGAACGAAGCGAAGTACTTTACTTACTCTTACGCCCTAAGGCTCGATAACCAGAAATACAAGAGAAGGAAAAAGAAAACAACAGCCAAAGCGAAAAATCTTTATTTTAGCAATAACATTTATCATATATTTATGAACTCAACACCCGTGTAGTACACGGGTATTGTACTAGCAATAAGTAAAATAAAATAATTAAAGTTGGTTTGATGTAAAAGTAGGAGAGAGATTATATGAAGTGATGGTTAGTTAAAATTATGTGAGTAGATAAACAGTGAATTAAAATTGATATGATGTATAAGAATAATTGTTTTATTATTTAATTATATTGATAATAATGAGGATAGTGGTGTTGAGTTGAAATTGAGTCAAATTTTAAGTAAAAATTGAGTATGAATTGAAAAAATTTATAAACAGACACCCCATGGCGATTACGAGAGAACTGACAGCATCCTCAATTCCTTCATTTTTCACTTTTCAACATTTGTCCTCAGGGGATCTCCCAGAGGACCTCTGTGGAAGAGGGATCTGGTACAATGTGTGATTGTTTCTTGTTAGCCATCGCCATGTTAATTGAGGTTGGAGTTTCAGGTTCTGATGTTGGGTCGTGGCCCTGTCTTTCGTGGCTGGAGCTACTGGTGGCTGTTGGGGAAGGCTTATTCTAGTATTTAGTGTAGTTAATGTGTTTTGTCTATATTTGTGTTTTGTTTGGTGTTTTTTTATTTTCCAATTTTGGAGTTAGCATTCTCCACTTGTGGGAGCGTAGATTACTACTTTGTACTTTTTAGGTGTGTTTAGTTTAGTAGCATTATGCCTAAAATTTCCCAATACATGGCCCAATAAGGTAAAGCCCAGAGAAGAAGTTAGGCATATGCTAATCCCCGCAACGGGAAGCCCATAACACACGCAAACAACCTAAGGCGCGATGTTAGGTATGTCGATCCCCTGATCGGCATAAGCCTATCCTTGTCGAGTCTTCTCGATGAAGATTGGCGATCTCTCCTCATCTAAACGTTGAACCAATAAAGTTGATAAAGCCACCGCCCAAGCTGTCTCATCCTCAAAAGACGAAATTTGTGTGGATACATGCAGAGCCAACCTACGTCCATAGCTGACACCAAGCATTTATTGTTTTTTTTTACTTTTTCCGTATAAAATTCTACCCCTTCGGGTCCTAGAAAAGACAAAGAAAAAAAAAAGCCGAGCAACGGTCATATGATCAAAAGTCAATCAAAACCATATAGCATACACCCTTGTCATATATTCCATAGACTCTCATATTGTTGTAACACATCACTACAGAGTCTTTTAATAAAAATCCCAGAGAACCACTCTCATTGCCGATCTCCATAGCATTTCGGCAACGTTAGTACCTCGTTTATTTTTTTCTCATATTTACTTCGTAGTTAATATAAATTTGTTCATATTTTCTCCTAATTTATTGCTTCAATTACACCATAAAACATATTGTAACCCCCGATTAAACCGCCTAATTTATATCAACTATAACTGTTTGCGGTCGACCATCAACAAAATGACATTAAAGGAAGGACGACCATCAAAGATGACCTCTGAACCTCACCCCTATATAAAGTCGTCCCAGTTGAGATTTTCTCTAAAATGCTTTCTCTCTTATGTGTTACACGCACAGTCCATTCTTGTCAAATGAAGGGTTGCACCAGTTCAATCGAACCCTCCTTCTCCAATCACTCCATTACTCTATCAAAATAAAAGCCTCCTACAGGTATCCAAATACTGTCTCTTTGCTTCCTCACCCCACAAAAAACTCATATGTATACATCGTGGCCAAATCTCATATTAGTCTATCTTCAACAAGAATACAGATCGATTAGCTCACGCTAGACAATAATGTCAAGGGTGTAAACCTCTTCGATCTAGAGTAACGATGGCTTTGTTAATAGTCGATGGCCTAGGGGCAAGTATGGCAAGACCTATCAAATACTTCACCGCCAGATCTTGTCCTTAGGTCT